TGTAAACCTAAAAAAAAAATACAAACCAGCACAGTACTTCATATCGTCATAATTTTATACAGCTTAAATCATTAACAAACAAAGGCACTCTTTGCCAAAGAAAAAATACAAAGATACCTATTATCTAAGAAATTGGATCCTGACATTCAGTTTTTGAGGACCATTCTGAAATTATAATTTTCAGTGACACATCTGAGTATTTCGAGTGTGATCAGTATGGCGCCATAAACATGTTATTTATTGCCTGAAATTCAGACAAAACTGCCAATATCACTTCTATATTTCCATCTCCCACGTGGAAATACAAGATAAAAGTGGACTTCAGAAGTGTCTGAGAAAAGAACGGCACATATTACCTGCTTTATGTGTAGAACAACGAGTAGCAACTGTGTATGATCACTTTGCACGGTGCGCATTTTCTAGTAGTAGTAGTAGTAGAAAGATTTATTTAGCACATTTGGCTACATAAACAGAATAATTGTAAACAACTTACACTTAGTAAATTCAAGCCATATGGTGTATGATGTAAATGCTGGGCAACCTATAATTGTAGATTTAACAAGTGATTTCTCAATTTTACTTTAAATTTTGTCAAAGTTTTCTGGTCTTTTATCTCCGAGTATAATTTATTATATTCAATCAACCCTTGATGGAATACAGATTTGTAGCATATGTTATACTTTTTGGTCATTAAATGGAAGTCATCTTTATTTCTGGTATTATGTAAATGATGGTCGACATTTGATGATGTTAAATTAGTTAGACTTGATGGAAATATATTATTTTTTACTTTATAAATGAATATCATTACAAGATATTTGATAAAATTTTTTACATTGAGCCATTTTAATTTGCTAAGCATTTGCCTAATTGGAGTATATTTATCTTTATTTAGTATTATTCTAATGCACTTATTTTGTAAAATTTGCAGTCTTTCAAAAATGGAATTATTTGCTAAATATAGAATAGTCGAACAGTACAAGAAATTTGGAAGAATGATGGTATTATAGATAATTTTTCTGCTATATGAACCCAGACATCCAGAAACTCTCGATAAATATCCCACTTTACTACTAATCTTATTTATAACTTTTTCATAATGAATATCAAAAATTAATCGAGAGTCAACAAAAACCCCCAGATATTTAAAATTTTCTACGAATTCAATATCTTCACCATCAATATTCAGTTGAACATTTGTACATTGTTTTTTTCCGATTAACAAGGCTTTCGTTTTACTTGTATTTAATTTTAGTCTGTTAGATGCTAACCATTTTGAGACAAGTTTCAAGTCTTCATTTATATAAGAGATACCAGTCTGTATATTTTTAGTACTTGTATAAATCATAGTGTCATCGGCGAAAATCTGAATTTTGCATTTTTTGACTATGGCAGGTAAATCATTTATGTATAAAATAAAAAGAAGTGGTCCCAGGATACTGCCCTGTGGAACACCCAACGTATTTTCAATTTTTTGATGAAATAGTGTCATTAACTTTTGTAACTTGCATCCTTTTAGACAAATAATTTCTAAACCAATCTAAAACACTTCCTGTTATACCATATGTCTTCAATTCACCTAACAAAATATCTCTATCAATCGTTTCAAATGCCCTCTTCAAATCCAAAAATACTGCTATGACAACTTCTTCTGAGTCTATGGCTCTTCTCCAATTCTCAGTTACCAACTGGAAAGCTGTTTCTGTAGAATATTTTTTTCGAAAGCCTGCTTGCGCCTCCACTAAAATTTTGTTTTCTTCTATAAACTGCATTAATTGGTCATGCACTATGGACTCTAATAATTTTTCAATGTCTGGTAACACATTTACTGGTCTCATATCACTGCATCTTTTAGAATTTTTTATTTTGGGAACTGGTGTTATTGTAGAGCATTTCAAATTTTCAGGAAAAGAACTGCTTCTCAGTGAACAATTGATCCAATTTAATACAGGATATCCCAAAATTTCGAAACAGTTTTTCAGCACGTTTTTAGTAGTGATTTTGGCACAGTTGTTATTTGATTTTAAACTGTTTACTTTTTTTCTTAGATAATTCAATGATACGCTGTGAAATTTTGAAAGTGTATGCAACATTTCCCCCTGGAAACTGATTTTCATATAGTCAGGTGCAGCATTGGCACTACCCACAATATCAACAATACTTTCCACAAAATATTCATTTAGTTTGTTTGCAATCACCAAAGAATTTGTTTCGGTACTTAATAGTATTTACGATTTTCTTAATTTTTGTATCAGAAAAATGCCCTACCAAGGGCAGCATTGTCCAACTGTGATCGCTAACTTTAGGTGTATGTACAGCTTTAATCCCTGCACATTCGAAATTTACAATAACAAGATCTAACAAAGTCTCTGATAATGATGTTATTCTGGTACTCTCTTCAATTTTTTGCTTGAACCCATAGTTGTTTATGGTTTCTTTCAATTTTCTTGTTTTCATGCTGTTACCATAATAATTTAAATTAAAATCACCTAAAAGTATTATATTGTTTCTAAAATTCCACATTTCTTCGCATTTTTCTTATGAAAAATAAACTACGCCCATGACACGGCCTGTCGATGTGAGCTGCCTGCCAATGGTTTTAGACATGAAAGTGATATGATACCGAACTGCTCTAGAAAATGTGCTTAGGCAGATGCAGTGGAACTATATTGGTGCTGAGTACTATTAAGTTACTTCGAGTTACTCCAAGTAACTCAACTGGAAATCAACTCTGTTTTATTGCATGTCACATTAAGCATATAACTGCCAAAAACGTCAAAGTAGCAATAACGTTAATTGACTGCCTTTTTCAAGATTTGACACCAATACAAATTCATACAATACAAATATATTATTGAACACCTTATTTATCGAAAATAGTTATTTTTTCATTTTGTCAAATATTTCATATTTCTTAAGCATAAAAGCAGTAAATTCATTTAGCAAAGTAAAAAAGCAGTAGCTTTCAAACTATACTGCTTTTATTCTCTGTATGATACTACAGTATATTCAGATAAGAGATAGACCGGATGTAAACAAAAGGTTCGGGTGATTTTCACGCTAACGCCGCCGTCTCGACGTAAAACAGGAGCCCTCATTGGTCAATTCGCAATTAAATGCCTATGCCGAGCGGCAGAGCAGTCGTATCAAGGCAGAGTCACATTCAGGTTCAGACGTGTTACGTATGTCGTGTGCATCATTGCAATTTGATTTTTCTTTGGACGTTTTCGTTTGTTATCTTATTAAGTTGTTGAGTTTGTCGTTGTTATTGTTATACCTTGTTATTGATTGTTATGGTTATCAACTGCTTGCGCAAAATGCCCAGTAGTACAGATACTGCCGATGAAGTTGTAAACTCCTGTAGTCCACCTAGGAAACGCTCTAAAAAAAGACACCTGAGTGCAGAAATGAAAGAGGACATTTTGAATATATATAAATTCGAGCGCGAGGAGAACGAGGTATCAACCATCAAAGAAATTGTTGTGAAGGTTTCTCACAAAGTTGGGGTGTGTCGCGCATCAGTGTTTAATGTGTTAAGACAATACAAAAAAAATCACACCTTTTCTGAGCCAATGACCAGTAAACATCGCAAAAGTATTGTTAAATCATTGGATGAAGCTGATAAGCATGCAATTAGGAGGAAAGTGCATGAATTCTTATTTAGGAATGAAATACCTACTATAGATAAAGTACTGCAGGAGGTAAATGGAGATACAACGTTGCCAAATTTCAAACGATCAACTTTCCATGCGTTACTGAAGCATTTAAATTTCAAATGGAAAAAACGGGGTCGTAATAGTTTACTACTGGATAGAGAAGAAATTGTGCTATGGAGGAGGGATTATTAAACAAAAATTGGGAAATATAGAAATCAAAACAGGAAAATTTATTACCTTGATGAAACGTGGGTAAACGCAGGACACACTACAAGTAAAGTATGGGTTGATGATTCTGTAACTTCATCCAGGAGGGCCTTTCTAGATGGACTGTCCACCGGATTAAAAAATCCAGCAGGTAAATACGAGTAATAGACAACAATCGGATGTTTTACAAACCTTGGGAACAAGGTTCTAAACATTAATTCCAGGGGGCAGATAAAACGTATTACAAGTAACAAAACTTTTATAACTTTCGATAAAATGCGTGGATGTTTTATTGTCATTTTCATTTGTTAGAACTTTTTTAAGCCATGTTTTTATGTGTTTTCGATATTTCAATAATTTTTTATTATAATCTTAAAATATGTCGAATATTATAAACTTAAAAAAGGTTACTAAGTTTTATATTGTGTACCGTTCCTAATATTGGAACTGGACAATATTTTAGAGGAACAAGTCGAACCATTCATTATTGACGTTGGTGCTTCAGGCAGTAGCGATGATGAAGGCTCATCAAGCTCATCTTTCCAATAAAAGATGTCGTTCATCAAATTCGGTAAGTTATAAGTAATTATAAAGCTACTGTATTTTTTAATTAATTATTGACATTTTTGAACCCATTCTGGCAAAACCTATTCAAGAATCTACTTTCTGACAATGTTGAACCATGCACATTTTTTTACGTTTTGAACGTTTTAATTTGGTTACATATTTACCTAGAAATCAAAAAATATACTAATCAATATTCTAAAAGCAATTTTAAGAGATATACGATTATTTTTAATTTAGGCTAATTTAAACGTTATTTTGAGATTATATTCGACTGTATTTCACCAAACATCACCAATCGTATACACATCGAATTGTGCTAATTTACTACAAAGTTACGCAAAGCAGCATCTACTATCTAAAATATGTACTGCGTGACTCTTAATACGTCCCTGCCGAATGTTACAGCGTTCGATGATCACGTGGTCTTGTTTATGTCCGGTCTATCTCTTATCTGAATATACTGTAGTAGTTATACGACTACGATATAAATACAGATTTTATGACAGAGCCGTACTTGGAATTTCAATTAAACTGAACGGTGAGTATTTTTTCATTTATTTTTTTTTCCTTGTTCGCTCTCGTTTCACCAAACATTAGCTTTGTTATATCAAACGTAGTTGTGTCTGAAAACGAAAACCCCAACTTTGCAGACCTCCTGTATATGAATAAATTATATTAAAATAAAATTCTGCGTTACTGCGTTTTTCTTAGGAAAATAAGATAAATAGATTACGAAAAAAGGCAGCACATGTTACTGCTTCATGACTTACGACAATTAAAGGTGACATTTGTTTTACGCCTCGACAATAATTATGATCAGAAATCACATGTAAATGACTCTCTTTAAAGCCATGTAACTTTGCAATATTCATCACTTTTGTTCTCTCGTAGTAATACTATTTTACTATTTATTTAGTTCGAAAAAATACAGAATTTTGAAACCGATTTTATACTTAAGTACGGCAGTATAGATTTATACATAACAGATTACGATTGAAGGATTGAAAATTAGCATTACTAACGATGTTCGTCAAATACCGTTCAGAAAGCACGGATGCGTTATGGAAAATCTGGATTCCGCACTGCACTAATTTAACAGCGATTGCGGTCAATCTTTGAAAGTAGTAATTTCCAAAAACGAATTCTTTTGTTTGATAATGAAGATAACCCACTACAGTTGATTGCTTTCTATGATTTTAAGTTTTTGTAAGTACATATAAAATGATCACCCATTTTAATCTACAATGTTTGTTAGTATATCTAAATTTACCTTTTTTTACAAATGACTCGAAAGTAACATTCGCCATTTTAAACTATAAAATATATAGCATAATAAATTGTCCAATATTTGTTCCTTTAATATCGATATGCTACAATCAAATTGTTTGACATTCGAATTGTATCGAGAAAGTCATATTGATTTATTCACATACCTTATAAATAAATAATAAATACATACATTCGATTTCGAAAAAAGGTTCCTAGCACCCACAATTCAGGTCAAACGCTTTTTGTCTCATGGGCTACACGTTATTTTGACTTCACTTTAAAGTACTATGCAACAAAATATATCGAAGTCGTATAGTAATAGCTCATGTTGTGCTGATCAAATGTTTCAACGAGACTTTCCGATATAATTAAAATCACTTGAAAATTACAATATATACAGAGCGTCCCAATAAAAATGGAAAGTAGTTAGGAGCGCTCCAGTATGCTGTGGTGTACCTTGTTACTATTTATCAATAACGGGATGTCAGAGCAAGTGAAACCAGGGGTCCGCTTTAGAGCTTTTTTCTCTAAGTAGCTCTTGACACAAAAAGCGTGCCTTCATGTTTATACTAAAACTATTCGTGGATCACATAGAATACTGGGAGTATCTTAAGTATTGCGTACTGGGGAAGGGTACTACAGGAAATCACTAATATCACTGATATTGCTAGGAATACGACTTGTAAGTGTTGGACAGTTTCCTGTGTTTCATCGTGCAGAGCAGCAAGCTTGACGAGATTAATCCGTATAGCTGGAAAAATATACAGAAAATTTTGTTTAAAAGCACGTTTTTGTTTAAGAATTGCCTATAATCACACATCCTATTGCCAACTATACTGCAACTACATATTTAAAACTGTAATGACTCATACGCGTGATCAACACGTGATCAGAGCTCGATCCCGGCTTCCTTCCAGTACAGCCGTATAGCGTACGACATATGTCGTTTCTGTGGCTTGGCGGTGGTCAACAGCACAGACAGAGATGGAAATAATGGCTGATTGTTCTCCGCCGGTAGAACCAATGAAATCAAAGACAGACTCATAGGCGTCGGCAACGCATTGGAACGTGTTTCGTTGAGCGATCGCGTATTGTGTGTTTTTATAAGAATTGTTGTGTGATTGTTATTGTTGTGGTTTCTGTGGTTACTGTTTTGGTTATACTTAACCATGGAGAGTACAAATGGCACGAGTGGAAGTACTGAAAGCCAGGGAACAAGTAGACGGCTTCGTAAAGCACTGAAGAGGGACGCGAAAGAAATCGTGCTCAACGTGTTCAATTATCTGAACAGAACTATGTCGCAGGGAGATGCACTCGCGCGTTGTGAAAGTATGACAGGCGTTCCAGAGTGACCATTCGCAGGGTGGTGCATGAAAAGAAGAAAACTTTAGCTACTACTGATAAAAGTTTAATTTGAAGGGACGAAAGGCCGTTAAATTGGATGACGATAGCAAAATGGCGTTAAGGCGAACCGTACATTCATTCTTCTTTAGGAATGAAATACCAACCCTCAAGGCTGTACATGCAGCGATCAAGGAAAATGAAATTATACCCCAAGTGAGCGTCGATGTAATGAGGAAATCCCTGCACAAAATTAATTTTCGTTACGAAACGCGTAATCGGAAGTCAGTATTGATAGAGAGACCTGAAATAGTCGCCTGGCGTCGAAAATACCTACGCGAAATGATTGAATATAGGCGACAAAGCAGAAAAATCTATTATTTGGACGTGACATGGGTAAATGCAGGTCACACAGTTAAAAAAACCTGGATAGACAAAAACGTAGTGAGTAACCGACAAGCAAGCATTGAAGGTTTGTCAACAGGTCTTCGTGGACCGTCAGGGAAAGGTCAAAGATTGATCGTAACTCATATTGGTAGCGATAGTGGCTTTTTAGAAGAGTGTGACTTGATTTTCGTCTCTAAGAAAGGAGGTGATTACCATGACGAAATGAATACAAGCTGCTTCGAGAGCTGGTTTCAAGGGGTGCTTCAGCGAGTTGAGCCCAACTCTGTAATCGTCATGGATAATGCTTCCTACCATAGTCGTCGAGCCGAACGTGTACCGACTATGGGATCTCGAAAACGTGACATGCAGCAATGGTTGCGCGAAAAAGGAATCCCGTTTGACGATTCATGTGTGAAAGCTGAATTGTATGAAAAAATTAAACAGCACAAACCTGCGAACATTAGTTACGTGACTGATGAGATGGCCCGTCAATGTGATGTCACTGTGCTGCGGTTACCGCCCTACCACTGTGAACTGAACCCAATAGAGCTCATCTGGGCTCAAGTCAAGGGTTAGATTGCGCGCCATAACACAACCTTCAAATTACCACACGTTAAGGTTTTGCTTGAGACTTCCATACAGCTAGTAACGCCCGAAACTTGGCAGAATGCTATCCGTCATGTTGTGAAGGAAGAAACAAAAATGTGGCAGCTTGACCACCACATCGACACCATCATAGAGCCAGTTATAGTCAATTTCAACGAGGAAAGCGATAGCGACAGTTTATTGCTGTCAGATGTAAGTGGAAGCGACGATGATTAAAGGTAATTCCCAAATTTTTGACTTACAATATGTTTCAAACCACTCTTTATTAAGCATGTGACAAATCTAGTTCACCCATGTTAAACATTCATACCCCGCCTATGAACAGCCGACTACTGGTATTTAAGTGATGTTCACGTGAACATTGATGAGTAATTACAGCTTTAGATAGTTATAGTATATACAGAGTGTTTCGCTTAAGCTAGGTGAAACAGTATTTGGTTGATAAGTATCCATGCTTTTCTGAATGCCAAATAAAGCCTCATACTATGGCATATTTCAAAATACATCGCCGAGACGACCGACACGTTTTTCCAATCCAACATCTATGGTTCCATTTAGCAGCCAGCAAAACATGGATATTCATTTCAGATGTGACATGAACAATTTCCTTATTTTAAATTTTAAATTCAAGTTTCTTAAGCAGATTCCTTGATCCGTTTGGAAAAATTACTTATTCAAATACTACCTGAAGAATAAAAATATTATAGTTACGTTATTTACCTGCACAACTGCGATTTTGATCCCAATGAACCCAATAAGATCCAATCGTTTCATGAAGAAATTGTTAATTTGCCTGTAGCACCCCTGCAAATAAATTGGGGTATCCCTGCTTTTGCCGCAGTTATAATCGTAGTAGGCCGGCAGGCAACATGAGTCTGGAACCCATCTGGCCGACGGCCAAGCGTCTATGAAGTACCAGTCTTCGTAGCTTTCGACTCCACAACAGCCAAACTGGAAAGGTGTAAAAATTTTAAATAAAATGTAGGTTATATGATTGTCAGATGGCTAGTGCACAATGAGGAAACCAATGATACTTTGTTACGGTTGTAACAATTTTATATCACCCAGATGACATTCACAGACATTCACTGTCGGGGATGCTTGACTCAAGTATTCCTCTCTGGAAAGTTGCAAAGTCGCTCAGAAACGGAAAGCGAGAACAACTCCCGCACATCCACGGTCCTAGGGGCATAGTCTGTAGGACAGAGGAAAAGGTCGAGGTTTTCGCTGATGCAATGGAAAGTCAGTTCTCTCCCAACTATGACCTTGATAATGACCTCGACGAGGAGCAACATATTGTAAGATCCGTCAGGAGATATTTTAGGGCCAACGGCGTCAGTGGCAGTAGTGCCTCCCTTAGTGATTTTTCCTCAGAGGAATCTTCAGAAGATTCCTCAATTGAAGAGCTGCACGGAACATCAGCGGAATCTCCTGAGACTCCGCATTGCACACCAGCAGAGCTCCAAGGTCATATTGAAGACCTCAAGGTGCGTAAAGCACCTGGAGAGGATCGAATCACTAATAAGGCGCTGAAGCTACTTTCGCGGAAGTCCTTAACTTATCTCGTGGCAATAATCAATGCCATGCTAAGGACCCAGCACTTCCCAACGGCGTGGAAGTCCGCTGATGTCATGATGATTCCAAAGAAGGTGGGTTCGATATTCCCTCAGGGTTACCGCCCCATTAGTCTACTGTCAGCTTCTTCTAAGCTCGCTGAAAAGGTGATTCTACGTCACCTTGAAAATTTCTCGGCAGACCACAATGTGACTCCTGACGTGCAATTTGGCTTTCCGTCTGAGCATAGTACGGAGCTACAGGGCATAAGGCTTGTTGAACGAGTAACCAGCGGGTTCACCCGTAACGAAAGTACTGGCATCTTGCTACTGGATGTCTCAAAGGCATTTGACAAGGTGTGGCCCAAGGGCCTTCTCTACAAATTGATCCATAAGGGCTTCCCCTTCTGGCTCCTAAAACTTTTAAAATCGTTTCTCGAGGGTAGGAAATTTCGGATCAAAATTAATAACGTTCTATCGACAACGCGGCCCATTAAAGCCGGTGTCCCTCAGGGTTCGGTTCTTGGACCAGTCCTTTATTCACTTTTTATTCATGACGTCCCTTGCCCCAGCAGCTGTGAAACCTATCTCTATGCTGATGACACTGCCCTGGTGGCCCAGTCGTGCTCTGGGGATCTAGTTCACGACAGGCTGCAAAGTGCAGCGGACGAGGTATTGGAATGGGCGAGTTAGTGGCTGATCAAAATTAATCATTCGAAAACGCAGGCAATCTGTTGTACTAAAAAACGTAGCGGCGCCCCGTCTGAGGTTTCAGTGAATGGAGCTCGGGTACCATGAGAAAGCTCTGCTAAGTATCTCGGTGTCACTCTTGACAAGGGGATAACCTGGCAGAAGCACACTGAAGCGTTAAAAACTAAATTCCAAATCTCGTTTCGGCAATTCTACCCTATGCTATGTAAAACATCAAAATTAAGTTTGATCAACAAAGTTCGACTATACAAGATGGTTAGACCAGCGATCACTTACTCAAGTGCGGCTTGGTGTTTTCTTGCCAAAACGCATTTGCGTAGCCTGCAGGTTTTGCAGAACAGAACCTTGCGTACAATCACTAACGCCCCATGGTATGTTTCCAACGAGACCCTTCACTGAGACCTTGACATCACTTACCTAAGGGACTACATCAAACAACAAGCGCAGCTACGTTACAGTCAAGCAGAATCGCATAACAACCCTTTGTCGCGCGAGTCAGTAGACTACACAGTCGAGCAAGTTCGCAAGCACACAAGGCCGCGACTCGCACTGTGAACAAAATTAAATCGTGCGACTTTAGGCACAACCGAAATTATAATTTTTCTTCAACAACCAATCCCAAAATTAATTTTAGGATCAATTTAAAATTGCCGAATACTAACTAGCAATGCCAAGGCACCCCTCAAATTGACGCACTTCTTTTTTCTTTGCTCTCCCTCCTTCCTTCCTTCCTTTCTTCTTCCCTTCTTTCTCCCTGACTTTGTTTGGTATCTGGGCAACCAGACCTGACAGACCTACTGACTTACAAGACTTCAACCAAGAGCAAAGGTCCTACGGACCGCTCTGACAGACAATGACGAATAGTGAACAATTTTACATCAGTTCTTAAAAACACTGAATTTTATTTTTATCACAAAACACTTCTCTTGTTCTGATGGTTCTGTGGTGGAGGATCGTACTCTACTCTCCATCTATTCAAAGATCATTGGCGGGATGTGGTTGATGACTCTGTCTAACAATAGAGGGCGTGCGGTATGGTCAACGCAGGGATGGCCACAGAACGTGAATTGTTCCGTTGTGAGGTTAGAGCTCATAATTTTTTATAATTTCCGTTGACCTCAAATAGGAGTGTTGAACGTGACTTGGGGCTATTATATAATAAATGTCTTTATTAGCAACACAACAATAGGGCGAAGTTTAGCCGGTTGGCTACTCTTACACCCAACCCTATTGAGTGCTTAAATATGTATATACAATTCAAAGTCACATACATGCAGCCTAAAAATAAATACATCGATCTGACTTTCAACTATGCGAGATAATAATAAAGGGAAAAAATACAATCAGTTGATAAATCCGCGCTATATTGGTTTACCAAAAAGGAAACAGTCAAGAACCAATACTGAACGGATGACAACACAAAAAAAAACATAAAGATAATAACAACTAATTATGATACATCTAACAGCTGATTTTTAACCAGCTTCCTGAATGTTACTACACTTTTGCTTCTCCAGGCAGGGTCGGTTGAGTAGTATAACCTCACAGCATTGAAAGTGCAACATTTTTGAAACAATGCGGTGTAGTACAAAGGCATTGTCAGATTATTATTAAGCCTCAGATCTCGAAGATAATGATTCATCTAGTTACCAATTTACAATGGAGGTAGATGGGCTTTTTAGTACACAATATCTTATGCACAAATACCTTAAGACTATATTCAAATTGTTGATCCATTTTCAGCCATTTCAACTCCTTGATCTTAGAGGAGACATGACTATATTTTCGAAGACCATACACAAACCTACAGCAGTTGTTTTGCATTCTTTGGATCCTAAACCGATTCATCGAGTCAAGAGAAAGACTGTATAGGGTTAAAGCGTAGTTGAGGTTCGACATTATCAAACTTTCAACTAGCTTCTTACGCGTCTTAAAGTTCAAAATGAATCTATTAGCATATTATCGTACAAATATTATCAAAAGACTTAAAGATACTTTTTTAAAAATCAAGTTCATCTTTTGATACTCCTATCTCTAAAGAGGACCTAAAAATGTCAGTAAATAAATACATCAATGATTTCCAAATTCCAAATATTGCAACAAATATAGCACAAAACGTCGATGAACTTAATCTATGTACACAAAATTCTGATGCAAAATTTCGAATTTTTAATATGAACATAAGGAGTATAAAACACAGCATTGATTACTTAAAAATACTACTCGACCAAATATGGTACAATTTTGATCTAATAGTTTTAACTGAAACGTGGCAAGTGGTTGATATTTCTTGCTTCAATCAGCAGGGATATGACACGCTGTATAACTTTGGCACTTATAACCAAAACGATGGGGTGATAGTTTTTGTAAGAAATGAGCTACAATATAATCATGATACATTCACTTTCACCGATGGAATCAAAATTTTAAATATAATGATCCAAATTAACCATAACAAAATTGAGGTATCTGCAATTTATCGTCCGCCATGTTCAGAACCCCACGAGTTTTTGAAGAATATCGAATTTCTTTTTCAAAATTAAAATAAAGTTCATTTAAAGCAACATATTTTCTTGGGAGATGTCAATATAAATATTTTGGACAATGATCCCATCACAAATGAATACTTGAATATCCTATCAAGTAACGGATTTCTGTCCTATATAAACCTACCTACAAGGTCCATCAGTGGCACATGTATAGATCACTGCTTTGTGAAAGACCTATCCAACAAAATTACTTGTATACCAATAATCCTAGAAAGCGATATTACTGACCACTTCTCCATTATTTTACTGATATCTTCAAATGAAAAAGATTCTAACATTCCTACCGTTAATAACAACCAGGAAAATTACAAATTTTTTGTCGACAATTCAAAACTAATATCAAATGTCAAACAAGAATCCTGGGAACAATTATACTCTATAAATAATATAGACAAAGCAACGGGACTGTTCATAGAGAAAATAAAAAAACTAATAGATATTAGTACCAATAAAGTAATAATTAGTCACAAAGAGAAAAGCAGAAATGCCTGGATTACCAAAGGATTAATAACATCGGCAATAGAAAAAGAAAGACTATATAATCTAATGAAACTAACGCCAACTACAGAGAATACCGACTGTTACAACCAATATAAAAATAAATTTATAGAGCTTGCAAGGCAAACCAAACGAAAACATTACCTAAATAAATTGAATAATAACTTAAATGATCCTAAGCGGTTTTGGACAACTATTGATGAGATTACTGGGAAAACAAAATTTAAAGAGTGTGTCACTGAGTTAAATACAACATCGGGAACAGTATTAAAAAATACTCAACAGATATGCGATGAATTTGTACAATTCTTTACTGACATAGGCGAAAATTTAGCAAGTAATATACAAGCAAATGTACAAAATACTCAGCCTCCAAAAAGAACTTTGAACTCATTTATTTTGGATAAAGTCGAACAATGTGAAGTATACACCACTGTTATGTCCTTAAAAAATCGGAAAAGTCCTGGGTTCGATGGTATTAAAAGCGAGCATTTGAAAATTATAGCCGAGGACATAACAGAACCACTCACTTACCTAATCAACAAATGCTTTGAATCTGGCATATATCCTCAATTTTAAAAAAGGTAATATAATACCGATACATAAATCAGGAACAAAAACAGATGTTAACAACTATAGA